AGAATATCAAAGAAATAATTATAAATAAATAGATAAAAATTGAAATATAATGAAGATCATGACTAAAAATAACTATCCAATAGTAGTAGATGCTATTTTTATCACAGTATGAATTATCAATTCCTCCTTAAGGTTGATATATTCCTTATAAGAGGTAATATATATCTTGATTCATTGTTGTGATTGTGAATAATTATAAATAGGAATATTTGTTATATGTCCATATTTATTGAGAGCAGATTTGATTTCTTGATGTAAGTGGTTTTGGTCGATGTCTATAAGTATAATTACTAGTAATGTTCTTTCTTCATCTTTTGTTTACTGAAAAACTTTTTTATTTGATAGTTGAATAGAGTTTGACCATTTTTTTATATCTATAGATATAATAGTAAAGTTTTCTTCCTCTTTTTTGTTAATCTTTTCAAGACATTGTAATATATTTTTCTTCTCTTCACAACAGAATGTTGTCTATGCATTGCCATTAATAAATTCTTTTTTGAAGGGTTGAAAATCTTTTGGCAAGCCTAATGTATTTTGCAAATATGCTATTTGTTCTATTTCAGTTTCTCCTGGGAGCATAGAAATAAATACACCTATTTTATATTCACCATCCACCTTGATATAAAAAGGATTGATACTAGATGTCTTTGGTCTATTTTGTGTTTTATATATATGTTGCTCAGCTATATTGTCTCCTTTAATATTCTCACTGATAACTTCTATTTCGATTATGTCTTCGAGCTTCTTATCTCCTATTTCAATTTCAGTAATATTTGAGATTTCAACTATTATGATTGTTTGAACTTCCATAGTGATTGCCTTATCTGGTGAGCTGTATATAGGAAGATTGTTTTCAGGCATTGTTTAACTTGACATAATATTTTATGAAGAGTATTATGCTTGTTCAGCTTGTTCTATTATGTTTATGTATTTATCTTCTAAAAATGAAGCTAGAAGATCTTCTTCTTTTTCATGTCCTTTAATCCATAGATAAAGAATGTGTTGTCTGAGAATGTTGGCTTTAATAAAAGTGATATAATTGACATTCAGGATTCTAACAATAATACTGTCTATAATCAAGTATTAGGTTGAATCTGAGGTGGGATTTATGGTAACTTCTTGAGTTGAAATAATATTAAGAAGGATTTGTATTATTCATAGTTTCTATTGTTGATCATATTTGTTTGATAATTGAGCTAAGATCTCTATAATATATACTTCTCTCTTCTTAGTGACCTGTAAAAGTTTATATTTCTTTATAGACATGTTGATTATGTAATAGAAAGTAAGTTGACTATATTGGTATTGTTATGTTTTACTAATGAACATTGCTATGTTTTCTTAGATACATGTTATAGGTTTATTTATTTCTTATTATTATTTTGGTAATATGAAAAAACCTTGTTGTTTGTTGTGACTTGTTGATAATATTTATTTTATGTATATGTTATAATAGTATTGTTGATATTGTTGATCAGTCAATAATAAATATATGGGATTATAGAGTTATTAATAATTGATTTATGTAAATACATAGAATTATGAAATTGTTGATAATTGATTTGCATAAACACATAGAAAGTATATTAACGTTGTTTATTTGACATGTCTTTAAACTTGATGTGAAATATATATATATCTATATTTGCATGACGTAATATTATTGAAATGCTGTTATTGTGGTTTGTATACTTCTTTACTATATAGTTAATAAAACTTGAATGTTCCTTTAGATTTTATGAGTATTTGAACTTGAACTAATTTATCAATTTGAGTTATTGTTGTAAAGTTTTTCTTGATATCTAGAAAGGTATTAACCTACACAGACTTGGCTAGGAGCTTTGTGAGATTGATGTTGGGCTTCCAAGAGCTTATTGTGATTCAGTCTTTCTTGTTGTTTTTCTCTTTCTAAAAGAAAAATTTATAAAGTAGAAGTTAGTAATTTTTGTTAAACTTAACTCTTCTGCATTCTGGAAAGAGTTCTTGAACTTGTTTTTGTAAGTTGTTTAGTTGTAAAGGTGGTTTCTCTTGTTGTTTTGGCTGGTTTCTCTTTTTTTCAAAAAATTAACAAAAAAGGAAATTTTCTGAAAAATTGGGGATCAGCGGAAAGAGCTTTTTTTTTTTTTTATATACTTATATAATTTCTTTTATAACTATTCTGTGATCTTTGTTTATAAGTTTAAATGTTTGTTGAAAGTTCAAAAATGTATTAAAGATTATTAGAATCATGGATTCAAGAGTAGAGATATTAATATTTGTATATAAACTTGAAAAATTATTTTGTTGAATGGTTTTGAAAGTAGTTATGATCACTTTGAATTTGGCATGTTTATTTTTTAAACTTCTAAGTCAGATAAGAGAGTAGTTTTCAAAATTGAAAAAGAAATGAAAAAAAAAGGAATTGATAGCAAAAAATTTGTTCATTTTTATGTTTTTACAATAAATTATTACTAGTTTTCTTTGAATATCATTACTGGTTTTTTTTGAATATCATTGATAAGAATATTAAGGAAATATATTAATATTGATAGTTAGACTTTTTTGATTTTTTTGCAAGGTTATAATTTTTAAAGTTTTCCTAAAATAAAAATTTTAAAATTTTTGAAATATATTAAAAAGAGTTTTTGCAATATATATATATTTATAACTAATACATAACATATAAACCAAATTAATATATTATCTGCAGTAGTAATCTGCAGGCAATGATGTTAGAAGTTGGAAGGGTGTTCACCTGAACTCCTAACGAAGCAATAAATTACTCCCAAAGTTGCACTTAGAAGGGTAAAATAATCTAGACGAGTGAGTTAGTTAAAGAATTAGCTTTAGCATCTCATATTATATATACAGCTTACAAATGTTTAATAAAGCATACGTAACTAGCCTGACAGAGGACAAAAAAAAAAAAAAAAAAAAAAACCAAATTAATATATTAAATAAACAAGTAAATAAAAGTTAATTTATAAACTATAGTTCAAACAATAATATGTAACTTAGTAATATATTTAATACAATAGTAAATATAAACTGAGTTCAATATATATTACTGATATAATAGTAGATAAAACAAAAGAATATATAATTAATACTTTAATAAAACTTTTAAAAAATATAATAAATACTTAAACCTATAAACCCTTCAACAATTGTTGTAATAAAAAGATATTAAATTTGATAAAAAAGTAGCTTTATTATCAAAAATATATATTATTTAAATAGTATTATAGCCTAAATATTAAGAGTCAAGGAAACAAGAAACAAATTCTAGCTTAATATTACATATTTCTGGCAACTAAAAAAAGGAAAAAAAATCTTCTACAATTCTATATAAAAGATAGATTCTTAAAAATTATTAAAAATCTAAAAGATCTATATAAGTCAAAGTAATAATTAATAGTAATTATTGAGCAATCAAATATTGAATTAATAGTAGACAATAAAATTATAATGACATGTATCTAGAAACTAGAAGAAATAAAATTATGAAAGTTTTTTTTAAAAAAAATAAAAAGTTATTATATTAGTAAATATGTCTTTTGTATTACTAGAAAAAAATATCTGATTTTATCACAAATTTATATTTCATAAAGAAGAAAGAAATCTATAAATTAGATACAATAATGATCAATATTTCAGGAAAAATAGAAGACAAAATTAAGGTATATCTAAATAATATTTTAAAATTATTACAAAAAAAAAAAAAAATCTTTTAAAAAAATATTGCATTAATAGAAATAAGTGACTAGTCTTTTGGATATAAGATGAAAAAGATGTCTAAAATATATAGAAGAAACAAACCAGAAAGAGAATAACTTTACCATTCAACATATAATCTCTCAAGACACTCATAATATACAAAAAATTGAAAGAAGGTTAAACAAAAAAGTTTTTCAAGAACTCAAAACCAATGAAGACATTACTATCTAACATTTATGTCTAGTAGATATGAACCAGAAATTCAATAAACAAACATTTTATATCCAATCATCTAAAAAGATAAGAAGAGGTTCAAAATCTTCATATTCATGAGGTAAACACAAAGCCCTGGATTAAGGCCTATAGAAATCAGATTTAAGATTTGTAAAATTCTTATTTAATCATACTATGTAGATATTACCATATCGCAATTATATTTAAGATTACATAAGGCTTCAAGTGTGTTAGCGTTTATTAAAGTTTTCAAGAATCGATAGTTGTAAAGAGAGGAAATTACAAAATTTTCTGTAAAGCACTATGTTAATCTGAATTAAGCATTGATACTGTAATAGAAAAAAAATTAAAAAGTGAATTTTTTTACTAGTTGAGGAAAATATATGATCAGAAAGAACACATGAAGTTATGACGACGCTATCTCTTGCGATGGCATCGAAAAATTATATTAGGAATTATATTAACGAACGGGAGTTATAGTTCCCGAAGCGAGGGGTAGTTTATTGTGAAAAACCGTGAGTTTTTTGTTTTCGATTTGATCAAGATCTTCAAATAAAGTATGCGAAAATGATGCGGTACCAGGTGCCACAATTACTATATCCAATTGGGCAAAGGATTGTAATTGTCCAGAACCAATCTGGATAAAGTATTTCTCGGGATCATTTTCAGTGAAGCCTTGCTTAAATTTTCCAAAAATTGTGACAACTTTTTTACGTTGAATAAAAGTAACGGTGCCGTCAAGTTTAATTAAATCGACAGCTGCTTCGTCACCGACGTCACGACGTAGGGGAGTTGCGTTGAGACATAACGCGAGTAGAGAAAAGGCTATAAAAGCAGCGAAAAGTGTACGTTTTAACAACATTATTAAAAAAATTTTTTTTTGTAAATTGCGAAAAGCTATTTGTGATTTTGAGGAAGTAAAATGCCTGCTCTTTTATACTTAGAATTATTAACCCGATCTTTATATGGTTTCATATTCGAAAATTAACTCGCTCACCTTTCATAGACATTTAACAAACATATGAATTCAGGAGATTCGATAATTTAGATATAATTTAGATGCCATACGGTCAACTCTCGCTAAAAGAAAATGTATGCATTGTATGACAAATACTATATTTTGTCATATTGAGATTCGCATTTGATTTACCGAAATCACGTTAAATCACGTGATTATCGTAGCTCATGCAAATTCTTAAAATTTATTTTTTTTTATATACAATAATTTAATTTTAAATACTTTATTTAATTCTAAAGCTTAAATTAAATATTTTTTCAAACCCAAGGTTTCCTTAATCTTTCTTCTCAATTCATCTATTTTTTTCTAAATTTCTTGCTATCAAATAAGAATTTAACTTTTAAATTAATTCAAAATCAATTGACAAATCATTACTTTCATAATGCATCAATTCACAAATTCACTTTTCTAAAGTCTTATCATTTGAATTTTTCAATGAATCCAAAATTCACCAATCTCATGTTTTAATACAATCCATATTTTTATTTAATTATTTAATTTTGATTCAAAACTAACCTTTTATAAAATCAATTTCACATTACTCAAAATCTGTTCTATATTTTCATATAATATACAATAACCATATGTCTCAATCTTATTATAGTTGAATAAGATACCAAAACTGAAAGAACTTCAGTATTTCAGGCAATCTATAAATTTCAGAAATATTATTTATCATATTAACCATCTCTTAAGTTCTATTTGTAAGTTGCCATTTAAGTCTTTTGCTCTTAGCTTGAAACCTTCCAATTTCAATATGCAAAGCTTCAATAACTGTATTTTACAACCATTATTTATAACAGTTCTTAATGTTGACTATGTGTTAAACCACCACTTAATTTGTTTTTTTTTTTTTGAAATTCAATTAACTGATATAAAATTATTATATTAAAGAAATTTAGAATTGAAGTTGAGTCTGAAACTTTATTATTAATATAAATCTAAACTATCACAATCAATCTATTTTATTTATCAAGACAATTTTACAATACAATATCTTCTCTTCATTTTACAATCAAAACTTTTTACTTTCACATTTTACCAATTATATCTTTTTTATTTATGTGATCGACACATTACTTGATCAATCTCTCTTTTTTAAAACTACCTTAATCTTTTCAAATAATTTTTTTTTTCACATTTTTCATTTCCTTCAATCATTATTGCAAATAATCTTCACATACACTTGCATAAATAAATTTATTGAAATTCTCATTATGTTCATGATTTTGTTTTACAAATTTAATTTTTTTTTTAACTTATAATCAAGCTAATATGGCTTGTCTATTTTATTGTAAATTTTTTTTTTAAACACTGGCTCATCCTGCACCTCTCCGGCCACTTTATTAAAAAAAGATCATATTTAGGAACAATCGAGATAAATATTTCCCTATAATGTCTAAGGATTTACAGATCATTAGAGAGGAAATAGTATGAAGAGCTATCTATTTATAATACTTGATCTAAGTCTAACCTAACCAGAATAAGGAAAATACATGACTGCCTAGTGTAAATACTCTCTTCTAATCACAAAGAGGAGATCAACCAGATACACTCAAAGGTACATTGCTGGTTGCCCACTGCCATTGATTTGATACTATCTAGGATTAATCCACCAATTGACATTTTTTCACCTGTTTAAGGGGCCTAACCTGCCAAAACTTGCCCAAGCTACTCAACACCGTCCAGTACTAAGGGTCACTTGTACTAGTCAAGGACTAGTCAGTGTGAAAAAATTGAGGTGAGGGGAAAGGGGAAAACGAGTGTGGAAGGTGAAAAATATTTACAAGAAAATGAAGTAGGGAAAGAAATAAAGGGGCACCTAACAACTACTTATCCCCCCAACTTTGCCTCAAACTATTTTATTGTAAATATATTTTAATATTTATATATTCTATAACTTTTACATATTGACTTACCTATTTACAAAGTTTAATTTTTTCTAGATGCAACATAAGAAATGATATTTCACTCCCTTTATGGCTTAGATTATCCTCTAACCACTTAGATTATTGCCTACAGCTCATTACTATAGATCTTCCAAAGTTCTAACTATGATTAAAAACCAAATTATTTAAAACCTTTAAATATCTAACTACATATTATATTTACTATATTGCTTTAGAACTTCATTTGTTCTGAATCTTTTTCTTCTTCTATTATATTTCTGAAGGGAGAATAGAGAAGTGTTTGACTTCCTTAGTGACTCAATCTATTCTTTTAGTTGTATCAGCTGGTACTCTAAATCTTTTGAGTTTGCTAGTAATTTCTTGGTTTTGTTCTTATTCAATAGTAATGCTATAGCACTTATTCCAAACTTTCTTCTTGAAGATTTTTCTTATTTTTTTACAAAATTTATCTATAGCCTTTTGTGTTATTGTTACTAAAATCTTCAAGGTTTTGAGATACTCTTTCAGGATTTTGATCTTGTCTCTATATATAAAGTTACAAACTATATTATATAAGCTTTCATCCTGTTGTTTAATATTCTGAATTCATTTCCCTATTACTTTTTTAACTTCTGTTTAGCTTTTATAAAATATAATTTTTATTTTTTTGATATGTTGAAGAATTTTACTTTGAGATTTGTTCCATATAATTGATCTTTCATTCTGAATCTTGGGACATTCAAAGAGATATTTTGGGATTTTTTCTTATGACTTGTATATTGAGCATATTATATTTGAATATAAGTTTAGTTTTCTTTTCTATATTACTTAAAGGATAGGAAGCTTATCATAGGATTAGATTTATTAGAAAACTCTTATTCTTGTTAGTACTAAAGAAGATATACTGTAAAAGGTATTATATAGATTGAATTGTCTCCAAAAAATTTGCCAATCAATTTTTTTATTAGTATGTATTTTTCAATCTTGAATATATTTTTGTTCAATCCAGACTAGCCCTATTTTCTTTATATTCCATTTTTTAAGGAAATCTCTAATATTAATATCAAAAATATGATCCATTCAAGCTATTATTATGAAAACTTGACTCAAATCAGATGCTTATTGTTAAATCAAAGAACTTCCTTTTTTGGCCTGCTTTGATAATTTGTCTACTATATTGTTGAACTTATTATCTTGATAGGTTTTAATTTTTTCAAATATAAGGCAAGGATTTTTCTTTCTTACTAGGTCCTTGATTTGATTTTATAGTGCCAGTTGATCATTTTAGTTCATTTCCTAATGAAAATAAACTTTTGTAACTAGATTGTCTTTTATATCTTGATAGCTACACTACAATCTATATATAGAGTTACTTTTTTATTTTCAGATATTATAAATATTTTAGAAAGTATAGCAAGGATTTTTGCTTTTGTAGCTGATAAATATGATATTACATTGACTGAGAATTTTTTGGTTATTATGTTGTTCTCAATTTGGATCCTTGCAAGATCCATTTCGAGTTAATCCTCACTTTTTATATATTGCTTGTAAAATCTGTTAGTAAAAAAAGTAAATTATTTTGTGTTTCTTTTATAGTTATATCTAAGACTCTTTATTAAGTCTGTTATATACTTTTTTGATTGTACAGCTTGTTTAATTAGTTTGACTTTTCAATTCTCTATTTATATCTCAATCTCTTCTGGTCCTAACAAATATATGGTACTTGTTCCATTTATTGATACTATAGATTATCAGTCTATAAGGTTTTGGAGTATGAGTAGATTCTTTTTTCTAATACTTTTTTTGCCTATTTAGTTGCAATAGTAATCAGGTTTAGAATATATATAAAATCATGGGTTGTTTGAATGTATAAGGATAACAAGTAGTACTATTTGTAATAGAATTGTAGATGAGCTAATATGGTGTGAAAAGTACTTCTTTATTTTATATTTTATCTTTTCCTATAGTTGTTTCTGCTGTTTTAATTAAAACACTTCAATTAATTTTATACTTGACAGTTTTAAAAACTAATTTTACCATTTATAGTTTGTGTTTAGTCTATTTTAGAATTCAATAGAACTGTCTTAGTAGATTTTATTGTCTGTAACCTTTGCTTTAATTTGTGTATACCAGCTTGAAATGAAATCTTTACAAGTATCAGCAAGAATTTGGATTGCTCTCAATTCTTGTATTGTTAGTATGATTATAGTTATTAGCTTATTTAGAAGTATTATTTTTTTCTTTTTAAAAAAGAGATAGCTTTCATATATTTTTTTTCATTATTTATAATTGTCATAATATATATGATATTCCTTGAATAGCAAAGATATTTTTTTTTTTTTTGCACGAAACAGGTCCACTTTATTAAGATTTTTTAGAGTATATGATACTTTGATTACAAAGCTATTTTGTAAACATTTTTCTATGTTACCTATTTAAAATTTTCTTAAAAAACCAGTTTGTCTTTTTAGACCTTCTGTGGCTTGTTACCTATATTTATGAAACTAATGTGTCTAGGCTCCATTAGCATGCGAGAAGATGTCATAGATGGTTTTGGTGCTAGAGATGATATCAGTTAGCAGGTTGTGAGACATCTGTATATGTGAGGTGTGTTGCCATTTTTGACTGTTGCTTTTTTTGTGGAATGTATTTTTTTTGTATGAGATTTTATGTTGGTATTGGTAGAGCCATCTTTTCTTGCTATTATTTCTCTGCTGATGATATTGGCTATTAGTTCTTTGATGTTCAAGCCATGTTGTTTGCATAGGAAGGGGTGTTCATTGTCTTCTATATCTGTGCATATGAAACAAATGTCAGTGACAAATGTGCAAGGGTGTTGTCGTTTGAGTATGGATATGGTTGGTAGTTTCTTGTTCCATATTTTTATGGAGAAAGTTCTGATTCTGTGGTTCCATGAGTTGCTGAGTGGTGAGTTTATATTGGAGATATGGAGGT